GATTTCAAACTGCAATATAAGGCCATAGTCACCAAAACAGCATGGTACTGGTATAAAAATAGACACAGAAACCAATGGAACAGAGTGGAGAACCCAGAAATAAACCCAAATACTTACAGCCAACTGATCTTCAACAAAGCAAACAAAAACATAAAGTGAGGAAAGGACACCCTTTTCAACAAATGATGCTGGGATAATTGGCTAGCCACATGTAGGAGAATGAAACTGGATCCTCATCTGTCACCTTATACAGAAATAAACTCAAGATGGATTAAGGACTTAAATCTAATACCTGAAACTATACAAATTCTAGAAGATAATATTGGAAAAACCCTGCTAGACACTGGCTTAGGCAAGGATTTCATGACCAAGAACACAAAAGAAAATGCAATAAAAACAAAAACAAATAGCTGGGACTTAAGTAAACAGCTTTTGCATGGCAAAGGAACAGTCAGCAAATAAACAACCCAGAGATTGGAAAAAAATTCTTCACAACCTATACATCTGACAAAGGACTAATATCCAGAATCTACAATGAGCTCAAATAAATTAACAAGGAAAAAAAAACATCAAAAAGTGGCCTAAAGACATGAATACACAATTCTCAAAAGAAGATATACAAATGACCAAAAAACATGTGAAAAGATGCTCAACATCATGAATGATCAGGGAAATGCAAATCAAAACCACATTGTAGTTATTCATACCACCTTACTTATTCATACCACCTTACTCCTGCAAGAATGGCCATAATCAAAAATTCAAAAAACAGATGTTGGCATGGATGCAGTGAACAGGGAACACTTCTACATGGCTGGTGGGAATGTATACTAGTACAACCACTATGAAAAACCATGTGGAGATTCCATAAAGAACTAGAAGTAGAACTGCCATTTGATCCAGCATTTTCACTACTGGCTATCTACCCAGAGGGAAAAAAGTCATTATATGAAAAATGTACCTGCACATGCATGTTCATAGCAGCCATGGAACCAACCCACATCCACATGCCCATAAATCAATGAGTGGATAAAGAAATGGTGATATATATATATATATATATGATGGAATACTACTTAGCCATTAAAAAGAATGAATTAATGGCATTCACAGCAACCTGGATGAGGTTGGAGACTATTATTCTAAGTGATGTAACTCAGGAATGGAAAACCAAACATCGCATTTCTCACTTATAAGCGGGAGCTAAGCTATGAGGATGCAAAGGGATAAGAATGACACAATGGACTTTGGGAATTTAGGAGGAAATAATGGAAGGAGGGTGAGGGATAAAAGACTACAAATAGGGCACACTGTATACTGCTTCGATGGTGCGTGCACCAAAATCTCACAAATCACCACTAAGGAACTTACTCATGTAACCAAATACCACCTGTTCCCCAATAACCAATGGAAATGAAATATTTATTTTGAACTCATTTAGACATATATTCTTATCACATCTCACATAAAAAATAAAATATAAGTGAAATAAATTCGGTTATGGAATTCCTAAAGCTTATTCATATAAAAGTACTTTTCCTAAATCACTTTTCAATTCAGTCTTTGATGTTGGTCTTTCCACATCATATTGCTATGGTCTGAATGTCTGTGTCCCCCAAAATTGATACTTTCAAATCCTAACCCCCAAGGTATTAGGAGATAGAGCCTTTGGGAGGTGGCATTAGGTGGTAGGGCTTTGCAACCTGAACATACTAAGGCAGGAAATTGGTACTGAGAAGTGGAGGTGCTGCTCTAATACTTTCCTAAGAATGTGATAGTGGATTTAGGGTAGAGGCTTGCAGAGTTTTGAGGGGCATACTAGAAAAAGCATACATTGCTGTAAACAGTTTTTTGTTGTTGTTTTGAGATGGAGTTTTGCTCTTGTTGCCCAGGGTGCAGTGCAGTGGCACGATCTTGGCTCACTGCAACCTCCGCCTTCTGGTTTCAAGTGATTCTTCTGCCTCAACCTCCCAGGTAGCCAGGATTACAGGCACTCACCACCATGCCTGGCTAATTTTTGTATTTTTAGTAGAGATGGGGTTTCACTGTGTTGGTCAGGCTGGTCTCTAACTCCTGACCTTGTGATCTGCCTGCCTTAGCCTCCCAAAGTGCTGGAATTACAGACATGAGTCACCCTGCCCGGCCAGCAGAATGTTAAGGATGATTGTGGTGAAGGCCCAGAAAGAAAAGAGGAGTGCAGTAGAGAATGTCTCAATCTTCTTAAACACTGCCTAAGTAATCCTGAAGAGAATGTTGGTAGAAATATAGACATTAAAGGCCATTTTAGTGGGAGACCATTCTCAGATGGAAATGAGGAACATATCATAAAGCAATGGAGCAAAGGCCATCCTTGTTATCATGTGGCAAAGAACTTGGCTTAATTGTGTTCATATTCTAGTGTTTTGTGGAAGGTAGAACTGTGAGTGATTAAATTGAATATTTGACTGAGGGAAATATCTGAGCAAAGTGTTGAAGCTGTGGCTTGGCTCTTCCTGACTGCTAATAGTAAAGTATAAGAGGAGAGAAATGATTTAAAGATGGAATTGTTGATCAAAAGAGAAGCAGTGCTTAAGGATTTGGAAACTTCTCAGCCTATACATATAGTGAAGAATGAGAAAGCATGTTCAGGAGAGAACATGAAGGGTGTAGCTATGACCATCTGATAAATTAGCAATCTCAACAGAAGCCAAGATCTACTATCCAAGAAAATGGCAGAATGACCCTGAAGAAAATTCAGAAGTCATCAGAGTTCTTGAAATGCTTTCATAGTGACTGTTGTCCAGTCATAGCATGAGAAAACCATATCTGTGCACTTTTGGGTGTGCTTATACTTTAAATTATCAAGTGTATTCATGTACCGGCAATGACAACTACATAATGACTTTGAGAGGATATTGACTGGAAGATACAGTGTGGCTGCTGAGATGTTTAATGTAAAAATATATGCCTTGGAAATTATGAAGTATCTTATTTTTTGTAATACTCTTAAACAGACAATGACTCCTCTTTGCTTCCAGGATAATAATGTCTATTAACCTAACACGGTAAATAAGATGCTTCTGAGGCTTTTCCACCCTCACCTGCTATGACCTTTGCTTCCCTTAGAAAGTGTTCTAACAGCTGAGCTCAATATTTTTGTACATTCTGTGCATCATTATACATGCATGCATGTTTTCATGGAATTTCCTTTTCTTTTCTTTCTTTCTTTCTTTCTTTTTTTTTTTTTTTTTGACAGACAAGGTCTTGGTCTGTTACCCAGGCTACACTGCAGTGACATGATCATAGCTCACTGTAGCTTCCAACTCCTGAGCTGAAGCAATCCTTATGCCTCCACCTTCTGAATAGTGGAAATACAGGTGTGCCCCGTAGCACCCAGCTAATTTAATTATTTTTGGTAGAGATCGAGTCTTACTATGTTGCCCAGACTGGTCTCAAACTCCTGGGTACAAGTGATCCTCTCACCTTGGCCTTCCAAAATATTGAGATTACAGGCCTGAGCCATTGCACCTGGCGAGTTTCCTCTTATGTGCTCCTTTGCTCCTTCACCTCGCTAAAGTGAACTACTTATCTTTTCATGTTCAGCTGCTCCATGCATCCTTCATGGAGCCTTCTTATTTTAAGAAAATTATTTTCTCATTTCTGTTCTCCTAGGTATCTGTGCATCTAACATTTATCACACTGTACTGCATTTATCAACTATTTTATGGAACTTGGTATCTATGTTCTGAGTCAAGAACGGGGATTGTTTCTTGTTCATCTTTTGTTCACAGTGTCTAACATTTAATAGGAACTCAATATTTGAATTGATGTTTAAAGTCATCCATTTATTCAAAAAATATTGAGTATCTATAGTGTGCAAAATAATATGCTAGGAGTTCAATATAGGGTAATAAGTAATACTCTTATTATCCCCAGGTAAGGGATCAGAGATTTTGAGTGGTTAACTAATTTACCTAGTAAAGAGTGGTAGAGTTGTCTGGCTGAAAATTGAGTGTCCATAACCATTCATATCCATTTCCTTGTACTTAAGGCTTTATAATTTTAAATAGCCATTCTGTGTTTTCTATTTTTAAAATTTAATATTTTGGTTTTCTGCATTTTCTAGTTCAATATAAGTAAGTTATGAAATAAACATTTAGAAACAAAAGTTGAATGAAGCAAATATTGTACTGAGCAGAGCTTTGCATTTGTCAATGTCTTTATAAACTAATTCTGATCTACTTAGGTATGATTATATTGGGATCCCTTCAAAGGCTCTAGCATTCTTGTGACCACATTCACTTCCTCATTGTCATTTGCATCTTATATGTGGCAGGAATTTTGAAAACCAGCAAAGTGTTGGAGAAAATGTAATGGAATCAATGAGAATCTGGTTTGAAAAGAATAAGCATTTTATGATCTATATTCTAAATTCTATTAGCCTGGATAAAACATATCAAATCTAAAATACCAAGAGGTTTAAGTTAGATGCAATTGAAAATGAGTATCACTAAGTAATAATGACATTTTCTTAGTGTTAGTTTATCTTCTCAGTATTATCCACTATGAGACCCAACTTCCTAAGAAAATCTGAAAACTTTATCTAGCATTTAAAAGTAATCTTTTAATCCCCTTAACATTTTATAATAGACTGTCATAATGAATTTTCATAAGCTTTCCATTGATGTGGTACCACAAACTTTCCCCTTTATAGCAATCCATTGGCTGCAAGTTGGACAAAATGCTAAGTGATTGAGTGACAGTAATTACTTTCTTCTTTCTGTCATCTCTCTCATACTTCATTATTTGCATTATTAATATTGTCAAGTTTTTCTGTTTCTTTTTAGAAATTTTTTAATGTAACTTTATTTTCTGAGGAATAATCTAGATAATATATTCTATAAACTTATTTAGTTAGTTAAATGTAACTCCAATACATTGCATTATAGTAAGTGTAAATGAATAACTGAAAGGCACATTTGTGAAACCCTCTTAAGTTATGGCATCTCCCACCTTTTCAGCAGGAGACCTCACATATGACCAGCTTACATATGGTCTTAGTGAAGATTGCAGTGTCAATTTCATAGTAAGTATTAGTAAAGCCTATTTTTTCTTACTTATTAAATAAAAATAAATAGAATGTCCTTGAATGAACTTGTTATTGATAATCTCATTGTTTCTAGATCTGTACCCCAACTATTTTCCCTTAGCTCTGTTGTTCATGCAGATATCTGCTTTAGACTTAGAATTTTCTGAATCTCTTTTGGTACAGGGAAGGACATCTGAAAGAAAGGAATACAGAGCCCAGAAATAGATTCATGTGCACATATGTGAATTAGGATAAACGCCATTTCAGACCAATTACTAAAAGATGAAGAATTAAATAAATATTATTTGTATCATTGGTTAACTACTTAGACAAAAAGTAGAGTCTTCCATCTTATTCATTCACAAACACAGAAAATATTGCAGATATTCCAGATGGCTTAATTTTTTCTTTTTCTCTTTCTCTTTCTTTCTTTCTTTCTTTCTCTTCCTCTCTTTCTTTCTTGACAGAGTCTCTCTCTCTCTCTCTCTCTCTCTCTGTCTCTCTCGCTTTCTTTCTTGACAGAGTCTCACTTTGTCACCCAGGCTGGAGTGCAATGATGAATCTTGGCTCACTGCAACCTCCACCTCTCTGGTTCAAGCGATTCTCCTGCCTCAGCTAATCTCGAACTCCTGGCCTCAAACGATTCACCAACCTCGGCCCCCCAAAGTGCTGGGATTATAGGCATGAGCAACCACACCCAGCCGCTATTTCATCCCTTTCTGTCACCATCCTTATTCAATGAATACCTTTAGGTGTAGTAAATAATGATGGCAAAGAAACTGGAAAACATATGGAAAAAAAATCTAAATGAACATTGTAGAAAACACACAAGTGATAATTATGACTAATTTTGAGGTATAAATGCCAAATAGAACTATGATGCTGGAAAGAAATGAGCTAAAGGCACAAAGGTCATCTGAATTAAAGCATTCTGTTATTTTCAAGAAGGTAGAGACACTGATTAATTTATACCTTGTTAAATCACGTATTAAGGGTAACTATTAAAGTAATAAAAATAACATAAACTTGTGAAAACCAGTATAGAGAAGAAAAATATTAATTTGTTTTAATACAAGTTAGGAAAAGAAAAAAGAAGTAAAGAAATAGCATAATAAATAAAAGGTGCACAAAAATGCAAGTATGTCAGTGTCAAAGTAAATGAACTAAAATCACTGGTTAGCAGATCATATCTTAGATTGGATAAAAATGCAAATCCCAACAATATACTGTATACAGGAGACAGAGACAAAGAAATCCATAATATTAGAAAGGGTAAAAGTAAAGGGATGGTAAGAGTTATAACTAGGACCAAGCCAATCATAAACGTAACTACTATCTTAATTGCTATGTTAATAGTGGACCAAGTAGTTTGGTCCACTAATTAAGTTAGTAGATTGGCAAAGAACATTATTAGGGATAAATTGCATCATTACATAACATGAGGAAGAATTCACCAGCAAGATGTCACAAATCTGAACATGTGTATATTTAATAAGCAAAGAAACCTGACAAAATTACAGGATAAATGGACAAATCCACAATTACTATGGGAGATTTTAACATAACCCTTTAAGTAATTAATATATCAACCAATTAGTATGGATAGAGAAAATTAACCCCACAATCATAAAATTTTATCTGTAATGGTTGATACAAAGCTTGGTATAATGATTAAATGTACACCTTGCACCCAACAATTGAAAACTACACATCCTTTTTTTGCACACATATAACATTCACAAGTATTGTTAAGTAGGGCCACAAAACAAAACAAATGCCAAAAAAATCAATATCACACAGATTATATTCTCTAACCAAAATACAATTACATTAAAAATCAATAATAAAAACTCTTAAATACCCCTACCTTCTGAATTTTTTGAATTAAGTAACTCATGGGTAAAAGATGAATAGAAACCGCGTGCTTAAAACTAAATACTAAAACAATACTGGGAGAGGAATGTATAACCTTGAATGCTCGTAGTAGAAGAGACTGCAAATATATTAACTAAGCATCAACTCAAGAAGAGAAAAATAAGAGTGACAAAGAATGTCCAAAGAAAATTAAAAGGAAATAAAGAATTAAGAAAAGTGCAGCTATTCATTAAATAGAATTCAAAAAAATGAGGGGACTCAAATTCTGGTTGTTTAATAAACTCTGAGAAGATAAATGAAGAAAAAAAAGAGAGGGCATAAACTTCAAACTGAAAGAGAGAAATATAATGAGAAATATAATAGATATACTAAAATTCATAAAATGTATGTTAAAATTAGACAATTCCTCCCTTCGGCAAACTTTCCCAAAATGGGGGAATGTTTTTTACTTCACTTAATGAAGTAACTTTATAATCTTCATATGGAAACCAAACAAAGACAAAAGGAGAAATAACAGACAAATCTTATTTATACACACGTAAAAAATATTAATTATTAATAAATGAAATACAGCACTGTATATTAAAAACTTATGAGGCATAACCAGGTAGGGATTATCCAGAATACAAGCATAGTTTATTATTCAAAAAATCCATGAATATAATATACCCAATTAATATGTTTTAAAAGAAAAACCATATATTTATCTCAGTATATGCCGAAAAGAATTTAATGAAATTAAACATCACATTATGATTAATATCAATAAAAAAAATCCTTTTGGTAGGCCGGTAATAGAAGGAAAACAACTTTCTGTAACCTTTTAATGGTCTCTACAAAAACCATACTCCCAACATAACAGTCAAACATTCAAAGCATTCTCTTTAAAATTAGATAAAGAAATCTACTATCATGGCTTCTAGTCAATGTTATATCTGTTTTAGCCAGCATAGTAAGACAACATATGAAGATTGGAACTAATCAAGCAAAAAAAGCTGTTACACACACACACACACACACACACACACACACACACTTGATGTGAAGTGAAAGTTTAGGAAAGGACAGGGACTCTGTGAGTAACACATAACCTGGCTCCAAAGTCTAACCTCAGTCAGTTCTGCTTTACTGACTGGTGACCCAGAGAGTAGAGAAAAAATTTATTCACTTCAGTTGCAATCCACATTGCAGTTTTGCTCCTTATGCATTTTCTCATCAATTAAAGAATTAAACACATTAAAACAAATATCATTAGTAAAAGTTTATATCTTCTGCTAGATTTGATTCTGTTTTTAGACTTTTTCACTTTCAGTATGAAAAACAGTGTTACACTGAATGTTTTTGGTCTTCGTATGTATTGGTTCGTCTTTTTAAAATGTATTTTATTACATTTGCATGAGTGGGATTAATAGGTCAAAATTTTTTAACTGTGGCTATTGAAATACATTGACAAATTTCTAAAGCAATTTGCCGTGGTCCTGGTAAGGTATATGACAAATATTAGTAAGTGAGCTTCTAAATATATGATTAATTTATAAATTAAAGGATTCGTTAAATGGTGCTTATACTTGGATAGTAGTGTTTTACTAATTCGTGTATATGGTACATCAGTCTTTTTATTTTTAAGAAATAGACTTTGTATTGCAAAATAAGTTGCCAATACTTAGTTTTATTTGTATTTTATTTATGTTTATTTATTACTATATACATTGTTATTGAAGCCAGAATTTGGGGGCTTTGTTACACAATTCAAACTTTTTATATGTTTACAATTTTTCTAACAAAAAAGCTCTGAGAAATTTGATTAATAATGAATAAAAGCTGAAACTGTATAAGAAAGAGATTAATTTTTTAAAAATCTTGCATTTTTGTATGTTGAAATATTTTGCTGCATTTGATTTCCTGAGACAGAAGAAGAAAAGGATCATTTAGTCATGCTGTATATATACTCAAGAGGCAGTACAAACTAATGGGTAAGATAACAAACTTAGAATCAAACTGCCGGCATTTAAATTCCAGCTCTACTGTGTATCAGCTCCAGGACCTGAGACAAATTGCTTTACATTTCTTAGCTTCAGTTTTGTCTGTAAAAATGGGCCTAATAAGGTTGTTGGGAAGACTATATGAGCCATATGTATAAAGCACTTAGAATAATACCTGGTCCCTAGTCAGCATTCAATAAGGCTTAGCTGTTATCATGGGAAAATGTACTTGTTATATACCAGACATGTGCTATATATTAGGTTAATAGAAACTATAGTCAACCTCTACTACTCTTTGGTTCCATCATATTTTTCTTATTTTTAATTTTGGTGCATTTTATGCTCAGAGTGATCGTTGTTTCTATTTTGTTCCTTTGTTTCTAGGTAGGTGGAAACAATGTGTTCAACATATGTAGTCTTTGTAGGATAGAGAGGGGATGGGCATGGAAGATATCAAAGAGGAATTTCTCTGATTTTGGTTTGAATTTTCTCTCCTTATACTCTTGAATCCTCATTTTGTTATTTTCCTCTTTCTTATTTTCCAGATTAAATGCCTTAATGGATAAAGAAAAATTGGATGGTAAGATTGATTATTGTAACTGTGCAATGGATTCCTCAGTGGAAAACATGTATGTAAACAAAGTGTGGGTTCAATGTGAGAATGAAAATTGTTTGAAATGGAGATTGTTGTCAAGTGAGGATGCAGCCAAAGTTGATCATGATGAACCATGGTACTGCTTCATGAACACTGATTCAAGATATAATAACTGCTCAATTTCTGAAGAAGACTTCCCTGAAGAGTCTAAGCTTCATCAGTGTGGATTTAAGATTGTCTATTCACAGCTCCCTCTTGGAAGCCTGGTTTTGGTAAAATTACAGAATTGGCCAAGGTAAGGTTTGTGTTGTTTTATGACTTTTGAGGTATAGTCTTGCCAGGTTTATGAATATTAAAAATCTTTTTGAAGATTCAACATTTTTCTTTTGTCTACTTGTTTCTTGATTTCTTATCATTGTTCTTTTCTATACTTCTTTGAATTTTTTTTTCTAGCTTTTTAAATGGGAAAGTTAGGTAACTGAATTCAAATCTGATTTTCTTCCCAATATAGGCAATTAAAGCTATAAATTTCTCTTCAAGTAGTGTTGTAGCTTCATCATACAAATTTTGATATACTATGTTTTATTATTCATTTTGAAATATTTACTGATTTTCTTTGTTGTTTCCTTTTTGAAATGTGTTATTTAGAAGTGTGTCTTTAAATTACCAAATATTGGGGAATTTTAATGTATCTTATTGCATTCTAATTTAAATCTGTTATAATCAGTTTCACAGATTCTTATTGTATGGCCCACCATACCTTCTTGTGGCATATATTATTGATATTTCATAGTCATTTGAAAAGAATGTATTCTGTAATTGTTACCTAGATACCTAAAATATTTTTTCTTTAGATTTGTGTTGATTTATTATATTCCAATATTTCCCATTCTGGGTTGGTTTTCCCAAGTATGCAGTGTGCACTTTCATCATATAACTTCAAGTCTTATTTTTAGCTGAGGTTTATTAAATTATAACCTATTATATTTGTTGTGATGCATTGCTTTGATTTTCTTATTTTAGGATTCTGATATTACTTATGGTGGATGTTTGTCCATCTTTTGTATTACCTTTTCTTGAACTGTGTTTATCTTTTCAATTTTTTAAAATTTCTTTTTTTTTCTGAAGGTATATAAATTGCTTTTGTTTCTTCTGGTTTAGTCTTTTTTGTCAAAATCACAAAAAAAAATTTCATTAATTATGTTTCTTCTCTTTTCAAATCTTTTTCTTTTAATTGTAATTTTTTAGGTTCAGGGATACATATGCAGGTTTATTGTATAGGTACACTTGTTTGATGGGGGTTTGTGGTGAAGATTATTTCATCACCCAGGTATTAAGCCTAGTATTCCTTAGTTATTTTTCCTAATCCTCTCCTTCCTCCCACCTTCCACCCTCTGGTAGGCCCTAGTGTGTTATTCCCTCCTACATGTCCATATGTTCTCATCATCAAATCTTTTTCTCTAATCACTTACTTTATTTTTTTTAGTTTTTCTAATTATAATTTATGTTGCTTTTTTTCATTACTTGCATTATTTTCTTAATTTCTATTATCTCAATTTAAACTTTCAGGTACAATTTTGATCTTTGTAAGGCCATGCCTCTGTGATAAGCTTTCACTTTTTGGTAGGGCATTTACCATAACATCTTTATATTAGATTCTGCTATAATCTTTTCTTCCTGAGTACTTTTATATGAAATGGCTTCTTATTTGTTCAGAAGGCAAGAGGGAGTAATACGTTTTTTTCAGTTCATTTTCTCTCTGTTCAGATTGGTTTATTCCTATTGTTCTCTTTTTAAGTTCACTGATTCTTTTCTCTGTTATATTCATACTGTATTGAAAGTATCCATTGAGCTTTTAAAAATATTGTATTTTCAATTCTAAAATGTTCATTTAGTTCTTTATATTTCCTATTTGTTTACTAGACTTTATATTCTTTTCATTTTGGATCTTATTTAAACCTATTTAGCAGGCTGCTTTTGCTACTACATCAGCAGGATATATGGGAGCACCTCTTTGTTACTCCCACATGGGAGTAAGAGTCGAAGTTCTCCACTCAGCCTCTGTTGATTTCCAAGGGAGGGAAGGGTGCCTCAGTTCCGCTGGGCGGAGGAGAGAGTTCAAGCTCCCCACTCACAACCCTAGCTAGTAGGGGTAGGACGAACTTTTCATTGTTGCCAGGTGAACTTCATTGACACCATAGGGGGAGGGTCTTGTTAACACTGGAAGGTGGTAAAAATCTCGGCTTCCAGCTAAGCCTTTTCTGCCACCACCTGAGCAGGAAGGGTGCTCCATTATTACTGGGTGATTTGCAGTCCAGGCTCACCATTGGCCTTTGGTATTGGGGTAAATGTGGAGGCCATATATTTTCCATGACGTTTTTCTGGGATAGAGCAGTTATTCTGTATAAGTTTTCTGTCTTGCTCGGCTCCCCCTATCCTGGTCCTTTGGCTAAAAAGAGCAGGCTTCACTGGAGCTTTTTTTCTTTGTCTGGTTGCACTCACCGGTGTTTCTGGGTTATTGACTTCTTCAGTACCCAGCTGAGGAATATAAAGTGGCAAGAAACTCACTGCCATGTCATTCCTCAAGTCACAGGATCCCTAGCTAGTCTATCATTTTCTCTGTGACTTTGAGAATCTTTTTATGTTTTTTTCATATATAACATGCAGATTTTTTGATAGAAGGAGAAATACAAAGAAATGAATCTACTTCTTGTTGAGAACCATACGCTGGAGAATAGTTTCTGTTTATTTTTTAGCTTGTTCCCCCCCTACTTCAAAGTTCCAGAGCCCTTATTTTATTGTTTTCTCAAAGTATCAAAAATATGGCCTGTTCTTAAATTTCCTAGGTTTTTCTCTCCCTCATGTGTACTTTTAAATTTTTTTTTATTATTATTATACTTTAAGTTCTAGGGTACATGTGGATAACGTGCAGGTTTGTTACATATGTATACTTGTGCCATGTTGGCATGCTGCCCTCTTCCCACTTCATATCGGTCCTGTTGGATTGGCGATGGTTCCCCTCGCTCCCGTTGTTCCTTGGGAGTCCAAATGTGATTCTAATTGGTTCAGGTCCCACTGCTATTTAGTGAGATACATGGCGGGTGTTTGGTTTTCTGTTCTTGCGATAGTTTGCTGAGAATAGTTTCCAGCTGCATCGCATGTCCTACCAAAGGACACAAACTCATTCGATTTTAATGGCTGCATAGTATTGCATGTGTATATGTGCCACATTTGCTTAATCCAGTCGTCACTGATGACATTGTGGGTTGATTCCAAGTTTGCTATTGATGTGCCGCATAGAACATACGTGAGTGCAATGTGCTCTTTATAGGCAGCATGGATTATAATGTGGCTAATATACCCAGGTAATGGGATGGCGGGTCATATGGTAACTTCTAGTTATAGATCCTTGAGGAATCGCCATAGCTGTTTCCATAAATGGTGAACTCAGTGGTTAGCCAGTGCCCACCAACAGTGGTAAAAGTGTTCTA